TCGTCGGCATAAAGTAGCAACTTCAGCAGACTGATCGTTGAAATCGATAAACAAAGAAGACAAAAGAGATAATGAGGGATCCCATTGTTGAAAGCGGGTGCATATACATTTTTCTACGTATAGATGACTGTGGATTCCGAACCTAATAAATTGAATAGAAGTCGAATATATTTCAAAAAAAGGCAACAATTAATCTTAACCTGAAATGCGACATTATCAACATGGTATTTGAAAATCTTGTTGCAAAAAACCGATTCAAATGCCCTCTTCCTCTGTTTGCATCAGGTAACTCTGTTTTTCCCTAAGTTCGACAACGGTGCTCGTTATTGCCGAATTTTTCCCATTGAATCCGCGCTCCACTAGAGTAAGTAATCGCTGCCCATTAGAATTTCATACCTCGCACCTATTAGGTCCGTGTTAATCATTATGTAGTTTTAACTTGCTTCTCTATCAGCAAGGCCGTTATCACTGGCACAACCTAGCTTGCCAATATTTTATTTTCTCTATTATCACCATGCAATGCAGCTATGTATAATTCAATTATAGTCTCCGGTTGAGCTGCGTTTAGATTCCGTGGTAACGGTGCGAGATACTGAAAAGTGCGCATTCTACTCCGACGAAACTTTTTTTAGAAAAGTGAATAAACCAGCCGATTTTGTCATTTGCAAATGCAGGTACATACCAAGTGATCCCTTTAATTTCGGAAGCAGACGATTCTCTGAAGGAATTAAGTCTAAGCAGGAAGGGACGGTCAGAAATTGCCCAGCAGAAGGGTTCTTCTAACAGAGCACTGTTAGTTGCGGTGAGATGCGACATGTGAGCGGGCATTATCGTGCAGTAATCGACCTTTCGAGTTATAGAACCGTGCCGATCATTTTCGATTGCTTGGCATTTAAAACTTTCCAAGAGTAAACACTGAAGAAAAAATAATCTTAAATTGCGGCCAAGAAGCATATTTTCTTAAATCAAAAATTTTTCTACTTAATATAAAATACTTTCTTGCTTACCCTAAGCATTATTTTTCTTGTATCAAGAAAAATTCAGCTTAAATCAAGATAAAAAAAAATTCCAGGCGACAAATTCAAGAATCATCATGCTTGAGCCAAGAACATTTTTTTTTCAGTGATCAAATCTGAGTTAATTGGTGGCCCATGGGACAAATATTCGACTAAAATAATCCCTCAACAAGTGAACCGACCGCTCTCAACCACAATGCCTTCGGACACTACCGAAAATTTTCTGTAGAAATCTCTGTTTTTCTTCCAAAGAAAATGTTTCTACCCCACTCAACTAAAATAATACTCATTTAAATGTTTCCTTTAAGGTCCTTTTTCACACATGCCTTTTTGTATTTTACCGCACTTATACGGCGTCAATCTCTAGAAGCAGCCTCCGACAGTGAGTCTACCGATTAATTAAGTGGCCGAGAGCTTCTCAATGCGTTATCGTAGGGTTCGGTTGGGAAGGAAGCCGACCCCGAATTCAGTCCGGGGAAGACATAAATCATCATTAATTTTTTTCTTTTACTCTGAGGACAATTAGTTTTCTTTGTTGTGATAATTGCCTCTCGAAGATTTCTTGCTTTGCCTTTGTCTCAGGAGTCGGTATCAAAAGGCTCCCGAGCGGCTGGGAGTTGCGGTGGTGCGCAAGGAAAACGGGTGAGAAAAATGGAAAACCGTCGACCATCGACAGCCAACAGAAAGGAAATCGTGTAATTCCACCGTTGCCTCGTATTATTCTTCGACGTTCTCCGACCTGCGTCACCCTGGTACTTGGAATACGATGCGGGGAAGTGGAAACATGGCGGTCTTCTATGTCTTTTCGCACCACGCATTGGGCCTCGTGGCTCGCCGCACTGATCACACTGATAAATCGGCTGCACAACGTCTCACAATGGGTTACGACACAAAACCCGACGAACATGAATCGTTTATCTTCCGCGAGCCTGAAAAATTGGAATCTCTATATTTTCCGTAAGGCTCAATATCTGACCGGGGCCGCACAACGGCACTCGGAACGATATCAATATTCAACTGTTAAATTTTTGTTTTTATTTCGCGTCTATCTCAAAGTTCGAGCATTCATAAACAAGCATTCACAATCAGCCCCAAAGTGCATCTGTGCAACTTTTTCGAGCCAGAACAGGGTGTCTACAAGTCCGGAATTTCCTGAAAGTCCGGAAATAGTACTGATCTTTTAAGGGCGGTGCGGAAGTACCGACAAAGTGCGGAAATTCCCCAAAAATGTCCGGAATTTCTTTTAATTTTTTGTCATTTTTGTTGCTATCTCAATTTTTTGAAATTTTTCGAATTTCGTCAAATGGAGGTACTGAAAAAGTACGGAATTTTTCTGTCGGAGGAGGTACTGAATTTCTTGAGAACGTACTGAAAAAGTGCCGTAAAACTACTTATTTTTGACCAGCCTGTTTTAGTAAACACCCTGCAGAACTTCGTTGGTCGTAAAGACAGGTTGTCGAAGTTTGTTTTTGAAGGAATCACTGAAAAAAAAAGTAGCTTGGATCAAGCATAATGATTCTTTAATTTGCCGCCAAGAAATTTTTTTCTCTTGCTCTAAGCTGACTTTTTCTTGATACACGAAAAATAATGCTTGGGTTAAGCAAAAAAGTACCTTATATTAACCAGCAAAATTCTTGATTTAAGAAGAAATACTTCTTGGCGGCAAATTTAAGATTCTTTTTTTTCCAGTGAAGGCAGATTGCGCTGATATAGAACCAATAGCGGCAACTATTGGTGCACATTTTCTGATGATGGAGCAGGGCAACGGCTGAAGAGGCGATGGAGCCAGGACCGCGTCTCCGTCGCGTCTGGGACAAAAGAAACAGAGAAACCCCCGTAGCTCCCGTCGACGGCTGGAGGCGGTCGTGGATCCGTCGATCGGATCGGAGGTTCCTGCTATGTGGGACGCGGGATGAGGATGGCGCTAGCGCGATAATTACTTGTCGTCGCCTCTTCGACCCTCCTGTCGGCTTCCACAGCCGCAGCACAGCGCTCGCCTCGGGCGTGTTCCTTCAGCCTCGCTGTATCGGCAACCGCTCGCGCTCCGCCCGCACTGGTTCAGGTCCTACGGAGCTCATTTTGACCCATAGAGTACATAGATTCGTAATGTAAATGGGAGAGCTGGCGCCATGTTCTGCTCGACGAATTCCGAGCCCGGTATGCGCCGAGTTCGGGTCGCTTTTTCGATCCAAAATGGCTGTGTGGAATACGTGGTAATTCCTATCTCCTTTTTTGTTGCTGTTGTTGTTGTCATCGGATGGCCGGGTACCCGTGTATCGCAAACAATCGATTATGTATCGAAAAAGTGACCCGGCGTCACACAGGAGTCTCGGAATTCGGGACATGGAAAATGCTTAAAAGCGGCGCCAGCTCTCCCAATTACATTACGACTCTACGTACTCTATGTTTGGACCGCGTTAAACAGAAAGGAACCAAGCCACATCAGCTATTGCCAAATTCAATTGGGCAATTTAATTTTTTACATGAAAACGGTTGTGCGGATTTTCGTGCAAATTTCAGTGAAAATTCTCCACGATAGGAAGCAAATTCCTTAGAATTTTCAAAGAAATCCGAACAAACGTTCTTTCGTGAAAAATTTAATTGCCCAGTTAAACTTGGCAATAGCCGACGTGGCTTGCTTTCTTTCTGTTAAACTCGGTCCATTTGACAAGTCTTATTACAATCTGAAGGAGTAGTACTCGGGGGAAATAATGGACCACGTACGAAATTGCAAGAAATTCGGCATCGGCTCAATTTCGAGTTTACGAGGTTTTCAAATTCTCCGATAAACGAGACCCAACTTTTGAACTTCCAAGGTTGATGGATCCTGGCAGTGACTATGCAGCCCTGGATGTTTCATCGTCTGTTACAGGAGCGTTGTACCCAGTGGCGTGGCGTGAATGATCGATTATCGATATTTCTCCATTTGAAGCTATGGTAAAGAATCGATTGTTAAGGTGTTCGCTGCGAACACCCTGTTAATCGATCCTTCTCCATAGGTTAGAATGACAGATCTATCGACATATCGCAAAGCACGCCACGTCACTGGTTATACCCCTCTACGCATCGAGTCTTTTTCGCAGGGCATGCAAGAATTGGACCGCTTTAAGGAGAAAGGAACCAAGCCACATCAGCTATTGCCATATTTTACCGGGCAATTCAATGTTTTACAAGAGAACGTTGCGTTGGTGCGAATTTCTTTGAGGATTTTAAGGAATTTGCTTCGTACGACCGTTCTCATGTAAAAAATTAAATTGCACAATTTTTGGCGATAGCTGATGTGGCTTGGTTCCTTTTTGCTCACCGCGGTCCAATTATCGTGTATTTTGTTGAAAAATGCAGCTCTGTCTCCCATCAGTGTACGATTGCCTCGGGTGAGCAGTGATAACATTTTGTGACATAATTCAAGTTTTTACAACTGACATCATCAGAATTTGTACCAAACCTTAACTTCAGAAGATGCCATGACAGAAAATCGTGAAGATACAATGAACGTTGTGTGCTAATGATTCGACTTGGAGTTGTCCCATGCCTTCTTTTTCCCCCCTTTCATACTTAATTCACCCTCAATATCGAATCACCGTCTCGCCCATATTGCATTTGCAACGATCAGTATTGATTCTCACTGCGTGAACTGTCATTTGCTGTCAATTCACAATCGCATCAAACGATTAAAGATTAGATCACTTAAACTCGCATTCTCTTAGTCCAGCGTTCAAGTCTCTCAGTAATGTTTAAAGACATGTGCTCCATTTACAGTATTCGCCTCAGCCAGTTTACGATGTTTTTATTTGAGCAAATATTTGCAATTTTATTTTAAGAGTATTTAAATGTTGTATCGTTTTTCCCCTATGTTTGAGGACCCATGCACGTTTTCTTCAAAATATGTGGCATAAAGTGTCACATTTCCATCTGGAAATGAATGGGTTTCATCTTGTCGTGATTACTTATTCTATAGTCTTTTCATTTTTGCATTTGTTTCAGGCCCTCGACCAAACAGATATCTTCGTCAATAAAACCGGGGAAGAAAAGGAAATTAACTCCCGCTGACAGACTTAGAATTTTGACCAACGCGGAGTTCGAAAGTGGCTTACCCAGCAAGTCGGCAAAGTTCGATTTCGCTGATTGAATCGAAGCCCCTCTTTTTTGTCTTCGTCTATCATAGCTTATGGTTGTTTAAAGCATGTCAAAAAATGACTTGAATTGCTAAGTAATCCTATAATTTAACACCAATATGAATGTCAACTGTGAAGTTTGAAACAGGTCCGTGTAATGCCTTAAGTTTAGCCGTTTGGCTATTAATGGAAGGATGACAGTTCTATAAAAGTTAAACCCCACCTGAATAGCTTTATTGTTTTTCAACTGGGCAGGACCTTGTTAAGTAAAATATATCTTCCTTATAATTACTCAGCGCGATCCACCACGATACATTGATGAAACCAGTCATTTAAAAATGACGTTGGGGTATCTGAAGGTTGCGTTTTGCATTGATGACTCATAGGCAGTTCTTTTTGTTTTCCTTTGTTTTTTTCGGAGGAATTAGAAGAATCTCGCCGAGCAACAAAATCATAACGTTCAATCTAAGGGGTGAAAGTAAAGGATTGCCCGTGAACTAAGTATCATACGAGGAGGTCGATTGCAATTGATAGTAGTGTTACACTCTATTGTAGAAGTGCTTAAAGTGCTTCACAAGAAGGTGTAGTGTAGAGTAGGTTGTCAGAACAATCAACTCTTTTGCGCTGCGCAACTCGTAGACAGCCCCCATCACGTTGCTTATTTATTATCACGTTCATGTCCACTGTCATCTGGTCATAATTTTATGGAACGGATCAAAATGACAATTACTCCTATTTGTATTCAAATGTCTGTGATCTACGTTTTCATTCCCGTTCATTTTATTTTAAATTATTTTTAATAAAAAAGAACAAAAAAATAATTTCTGAAAATATCTTTTCTGCTTAATTGTTTCGAATCACACCTACTAAGCTGAAACTTTTCCGTAGACAGTCATCATTTAAGAAACGACCAAATACACCTTTGAACGTACGACGATCGTAATGGTTTTTTCCTCTCATCTGTGCCGTGGTTTCTTTTCTGTCCACACGGAGATAAAAACTTCCTAAAAAAAAAACCCCCCCTTCCTCCTTCCTGTTCCTTGTTTGGGGGGGGGGGGGGACGTTTTATTCAACAGGTGGTGTCGCATATAGAAATACTTACTGCCTTTTTTTGTGTGGTAATGGCGTCTGGGGTGGAGTTTCTCTTCTAGGTATTTTCGTTTGACCTCTTCAGCCTCTATCTCTAATTGGATAGCTTCATTGTCGAGCTGGTGAAACTTTGGGTTGTCTGCATATCTCTTTGCGGTGGATCGTTCACCTCGGGTTTGTGCGGGTACGTTCTTAGACCCATCTTTCGCCAGCTTGGCCTCGTCCTCAGCCACCGGAAGGTTCCTTTTTGTTGCGGTGGTGATAAATATTTCCTAATTAAAACATCATGTAGATCATACGACTTGAGCACGGAGAAAAAAAATTCGTGCATGGAACCCGAAGTTGAGGTCATATGGATATCTGAAGTTTTCTGATCACGCATCCGAATACGTGAGGTCGAGCTGCCGAGGTTCGGGTCAGACATCGAGGCATTTCGGTATGTACCGGAGTACTTCCGATGTGTGACCCGAACCCTTCGGTATATATCGAAGTACTTCAGATGTCTGACCGAAACTTCAGCAAGTGTACCTCAAGTTTTTAGATACGTGATCCGAAAACTTCAGAGATCCATATGACCTCAACTTCGGGTCCCACGCACGAAGTTTTTTTCTCCGTGTATTTAAGTGGTTAGAATTTACTTCAGTAACCGGTAAACATTTTTAAAATTCATCCGATTGCACTAGTTGTTGAACGTAAGTTAAGTAGAGTTTTTGACACACACGGTTAAAGCTGCTGCAATGATGCAGTGACTTGTGCAGTCCTGATGCATTTAGCACTTGGGGCAGTTTGCTTTGAGCTTCATTCTTCATACAACCGTTTCAGCAAGGTCCCGAGTATAGGCATCGTCGAAAATGCTCAAATAAAACGAATGCTCTCGAACCGGAACGGTCAAACGCATACATAGATCGGGCGTTGTCGGGCCGGATTTAATTTCATATGTGCTGATCCCGGTTTGTTATCTTCAACGGAAATCCACTTACATCAAATTGGCCTCTGAAATACTTCCAGTATGTTGTGACAAAATGGTTTGCCTAGTGTGTGTTGAATTTTTCTTGACACCCTGACGAGTGCCTTGGAAAAACAAAGCATATTATAACAATAATTGTGTTAAACGTAACCTGCGTTATTCGGGAAACGATACGGACGGTCGGCCGGTAATACTGCCTTTTTATGCGTGTAGAGTTATTAAAACTTTGGGTTGATCTTAATCGATCAATCATGGATACTTGCGCGTATGTTTCGCACTCTTGTCTAGTTCTCTTTTATAAAATGTAAATCTAAGAAAAAACCAAAACTCCACCACCACTAACAACAACAACATACTCATTGTGCGTTTTGGGCGCGTAACAGGTTCAAAAATGCACGAGACTTCCATGTGTAAGATATAAAACGGAACCTATATGTTTTTATGAAAAGTGTAAAACGGATGAGGCGATTGTCAGAGTTCAGGATATGGAACCAGAAGATGCAAATATTCTTCCGCCAGCCCCAATTAGATACGTGTGAGAGTTTTTCTCCATGATCCTATTATTAATACGCTGAGCTTCAAGATGAAAATCAGCCTCTTCGTATTTTGCCTCGCTTGGACTTGCTGCTTCTTTTTGCACAGAAGATTCGGTTGAAAGGCCACTGACCTGAATAAACGGAATAAAGTTACCGTCTATCTTCATTCTTTTCCCAGAATCTTTCCTGCGAAAGAAATGAAAAAAATCTCTCATTTGCTGAGTCGAGTCAGCAACAAAAACAATTTTATTGGTAATAGTGATAATATATTACCTATAAGCAAATATTCATATAATTTACTGAAGAAGGCCGCTGCACAGAAAAATTGAAGAAAACTCTAATTGCATTGACTAATGAACTGATTCTTATTGAGAAGTGATGTCATGAAGATGCAACACGATTGATAAATATTAAAGTAGTATTTATGCAGTCCACACTATGAAACTTCGTTCGGAGGGGGTTATCTATTAATTTTGGATGTTTGGAACGAGCTGTAGGTATCGAGATATAACGTAAAGATGTTTGATAACTTCTTACTCATCCCAACGAAAGTTCTCACGATGGATTTTCACATTTTTACTTGTGTTAAAGGATCACCAAACACTGTCTATAAACCAATGTTGCATGAGGAGTCAAAAAGAAACGTCAAATGTGGTAAATGGTATGTACTTTCAAAAGGTAGTTGCAATAATAATTGTGTTATCTCGCGTTGAATTACCATCTTAGACTGGAAGCCAAAATTTTCATATAGCTGACGTCAATGACTCTCTCAGACTTGAGGATCTCCGACCTCCCAGTGCCTCTGGAAGGAATAAAAAAAGTTATTAAGTGGATTATTTTCAAGCCGGGATTACAAATACATTGATTGGCGTCGGAAGAGTCGGTGAACACGGTGGAAGATTAATTGCGTGTGATAGTATTGCCACACAGGCCCAGCGAGTTTATTAGATCAAAGAAACAGGAGTCAGGTAGCCCGGCTCAAAGGGGAGCCGAAAGAAGGAGCTGACCGACGGGGTCCGCCCCCCGGCGATGGGCGGGGGGAGGAGGGGTCATTTACTCTGTAAAATGGACTCATTAAGAGGTGCCTTTAACACATGACTTGCGTTTCGCTTTGTGTCCGGCACTCGAGCCAAAACAGAAACAAGCGACAGCGATACTCGATCGCGAGTGACTGTGAGCTTCGCGGCGAGAACAGTGGGTGCGCTCCTCACCGAGCAATCGAAAGCTCTCCGAATGCTGTCTGCAGCTCGATTATTGAAATTAATAGACAAAGCTATAGACAAAGGTGACATAGGCAGTATGAAGCGATCCTATTGGTTGGAATGGGTGGTTCCCATAGACTAAAGGGGTAAATAATGGATTAACGAAAGGGTCTCTCGTGGGTTGCCGTTAGTCCGTCTATTCCTTTCCTCCGTTGTCACTGCAACTACCCGCTTGCTCCAATAAGATCCCTCCAAATCCCTTTTGTCTTCTTTGTCTATAGCTTGGTCCATCAATTTCAATAATTGGCCCGTTGTAAGATTTCTAGTTCATCACGGAAACGAGTCATACTGTCTTTGCGTGAACTACATCCAGAGATGGAAATTCGAAGGCGTACTTTTAAACTTCTGTGCGAGCGTCGGAAAATGCCAAGGTAATGCCAACCTCGTCGAACTTGATTGTTGTGGGAAAGACTTGTGTTGGTGACATATTAAGCAGTCATTTTGAATTTCGCGGGCTCATCGCCGCGCTGCGTGACCCTTCACATGCTCACATGTGTGTCCTTCCCTGTGGAAGTGAGTATTGGATCTCTCCAAAATTTTGGAAAGTTCCATCGGCCGATAAAAATGAAGTATTGCCCGGGAGAAAAATACGTGTCAGATGTCAAGAGACTGTCAATGACCAATTGAAAGATGTGAAAAAGACGGCTCTTGGAGTTAAGGCATGCCAGCGTAATAAGTCTGTTGCACGCGAGAGATACAGCCAACTGAATACAACTTCTGAGGCTGAATTTGCGCGAAAATCACGTTGGGCTTATCAAAAAGTCTGAAATGCACCCCTTTGCGCGCAATCTGTAACATGCTTTTTCAAATTTATCGCGGGCGTAGGCAGTTTTTCTTGCACTGGAAAAAAAACACCGTCTGACCAGCGGCTGCCGGTCGGCGCGAAACGTATATTAGCGCCTCCAATACTGTAAAAGTATTTTACGCATTGCGCCGAAGGTGATGTCGCCCATCGGCGCAGAACGCACATTAGCGCCTACAAGACTGCAGGAATACTTCACGCATTTCGCCAAACACTGTGCGGTCGCCATTCGGCGCGAAGAGCCTGTTAGCGCCTACAAGGCTGTAGGAATACTTCACGCATTGCGCAGAACACAGTGCGATCCCTGGTCGGCGTGAAACGCATAGCAATTCTACGAAAAATCTCCAAAAAATGAATAATTCAACTTGCCTAATTTTTCTTATTTACTGTGTCAACAAAAAATGCCGTGCTCAAACTACCATGCAGTTGACTAAATTTTGGGTGAACCTAGGTATTTTTTTTTTGGGGGGGGGGGGAGAAAGAAACAAAGAAAAGAAAAAAAGTATGCGTGCTAATCTCTTCTTGTTGCGTGAGCGTTATTACTTCCCGAAACACAATAGAATTTGTTATTTTGACAGAATCTTAGCAGCGCACGGCCTGGCAGCTCACTCTTAGCGGTTAGCAAACGGCCATCTTACCCAACTCCTGAAAAACGAAAAGTTTGTCACCTGAAAAGAATCAAACTAGCGCCCGGCCTGAATGCTTAGGCTCACTCTGTAGCGGTTAGCAAACCGTCCCGACAAAAATGCCCTGTCCGTATGTAATTTGGACTGAGTTAAGCAGAAAGGAACCAACCCACATTTTGGAAAAGATTGAGTTATGAGTGGTATTGAACTCAACCACTGCTCTACTATCTATATCGCCAAAAAGTCAAAGTTTTTGTCGGAGCAAATTTTGCAGAAATTGAACTTGAAGTTTATCTTTTACATTGAGTCTTACGCAAGAGCCAAACTTTGAACCTCTTTTTCTCCGGTCCGATCCCGATGTGGCTCGGTTCCTTTCTGTTTAACTCCGTCCATTTACCAATGTTGGACTTCTCGCGGCGCATAGAGCATACCTGTTGTTGTATTGGAAGTATCGAACCATGATGAGCGCCCACTTTGATCTATCAATATCGAGCTATCGATCCATCTCTTGGACGCGGTGCGGAGGTCCCGGTCAGTAGTGTTATCCGC